TGTCACGTTATCTCTCTATCAAATTATGATCCTTTGAATCATCCTGATAAAAAGGACTTACTATAAGCAATCTCAGGGTATTCTTGGCCATCGAAAGTGGGAAGTCTCAAGTCTATGAGGATGTACAGGAGGATGCCCGTGAGGGAGACAGGGATGAAGAACGCCCAGCAGAACTTCCAGTAGATGCCGAGGTCGACCCCCAGCATGAATTTCATGTCACGAATAAAGTTATTCATGCCTAAAAAAGTTGAAATAATAGAAATGATAATGTCAGTGTACATGCATATTAGAAATCGGCATTTTCATACATTATAACAAAAATTATATACATGACGAACTTGCCGTAAAAAAATAGTCGAATAAACAATCAGAAAAAAATGTAAAAATGTGATCACCATAGATGTAGTTGATCCCGACAGTTTCAACGATAACGAGAACGTAGATGATGAATCCACCTCCGAAGTAATCGACAAGGTCCAAAATCCACTGCCCACCCTAGGGTATACATAATTCATACAGATTACTAATCATGGCCTTTCTGGAACAGCTTATTTATGTGCAAGAACTAAAGGTAGTCCTAATGGTATACGTATGCAGAGTCTCTTACCGGCGTGACATAGACAAGACCCAGCAGGAACCCTGAGACACAGATGCCCAGTGTTATGTAAACTTTTTTGATTTTTGGGAACTGGTCACAGATGACGGTGATGATGTTGCCGGTGAGTCCAGCCGCGGAGCCGACGCCCAGCGTGAACAGCATCAGGAAGAACAGCACAGCAAACAACTGCAGAACAAACCGAATGATTATGATTATATTTTTATAATTGCTTTTTCAAACGTCCAAGGTTTTATGCCTAGGTCTCTCACCCTTGGTCACGGTCCTGACTTACCTGCGGCACCCAGTCGAACTTGGCGAGGGCGTCCGGGTAGGAGATGAAGGCCAGACCCGAGCCGCCCCTCACCACGTCCTTCACATCCGCGTCGAGCTCGTGGGCGAGGTTGCCGAGGATGCTGAAGATGGTGAATCCGGCGAGCAGGGAGGTCAGCGTGTCGGCCAAGCTGATGATCCAGGCATCTCTGTACGAGGAAAAAGATATTTTACTTACGAATGATGCCTTACGATGTCAGTAGGGAAGCAGATAGGCATAAGAGGGCAATGCCGAGTGGCTTAAACTCTAATGCATGACTGTTGATAGCGAGTTAGTAAAATGAATTTCTGCTGCATCAGTACGAACTGCATTTAGGCAGGGAACTTAGGTGTACAGATTACACTATCTGTATATGCCAGCTTCATAACCATTCTCTGCCTGTCTTAGAAACTACTGAGCAAAAATAATCAAAATAAGCCAACTTTACGCCCATAAAATACAGTCTTAATTCTAGATAATGAATAATCCAGCACAGACAATCATTACCTGTAAATGTTTTGCGTGAAGCCGTTGTAAGAAGAGAACGTGATAATGGCGCCAAAACCAACCGAAAGACTGAAGAAGGACTGGGTGACGGCGGCGTACCACACCTGCGAAAAAGTCGGAAAGTCAAATGAAAACCATTGGTGGCCGGATTAGTCACATAGTACAATAGAGCAAAGAAAGAAAGGAATAAATAAACAAAAAAAAACAAGCAAACAAACAAATAAATAAGTAAATAAATAAATAAACTAAAAGGAAAAATGTTCATCAGTGCATGCTTCAAACCTACATTGGGATCAGCCAGCATGTGCCACTGTGGATTGATGAAGTAGATGATTCCCTCGACCGCCCCGGGAAGCGAGACGCCGCGGCCCAGGAGAGTGAAGAGCACGACGTACGGGAAGAGGGCGGTGAAGTAGGCGACCTGGAGGGCAAACGGATGCCATAAGCTCTGTGCATGTCTATCAGTTTGGTATACGAATAACCATGCATCCTCATTTGCCTACCTGCTTGTCTATGTCTTTCTATTTGCCTACCTGCTTGTCTATGTCTTTCTATTTGCCTACCTGCTTGTCTATGTCTTTCTATTTGCCTACCTGCTTGTCTATGTCTTTCTATTTGCCTGTCTATGCGATTGTCGGTCTGTCTAGCTATCTGTCTTTTTGTATTCATATATCTTTATGTGTATCTATCTAATACATCTGCCTGTCTATCTACCTATTTATCTTTATATCTGTCGCTCTATATCTCTATATATGAATTGATCAGTGTATCCATATATCTCTTTAACTACCTACCTACGTACCTGCCGAAATAATTATCTATCTATCTATCTGTCAGTCCATCTATCTACTTAAAGTATACCGTATACCTGGCTTAATAAGATATTAACTATAATCCTACCGTACAAGCGTTATTATCGAGATCAGTTACTACAATGAAAGCGTTCAGCGATTCGATTTTCTCTCTTGTTTCTCGTTCTTTTCCAGACCTTGTCCTGGTCTTACCTTTCCCGAGCTCTTGACTCCCTTGACGAGCGTGAAGAAGAGCACAATCCACGAGAAGAGGAGGCAGAGGGCCAGGCGCCAGTCGGGCAGACCAATGCCGTCGTCTATGTTGTCGATCTTCTTCAGGACGAATTTGCTACGAGAAAGAAATATATGTTAATGTTCGAAGAAAAAAAAGGTGGCGGTGTTATTGGAAAGGATCTGTGTGAGAGGTGAAGGAATTTTAGCTTACGAACTAATAATGAATCGTGATTTGTTTCGTCGAGAAAATGTGCATATAGTTGAAAGCGTATTCTTGCCTTCCCAATCAGGGGGCGCTCAAGTCAACTCACTTGAAGTACTGCTCGGACGAAGACTGAGATACGTTGGTGTAAGTGAAGTTCCCCGCAGAGTCGACACAGTTCTCGTCGGCCCACTCGGGGTTGCAGTATGTCCAGGGCAGGACGGTGTTGAACGACTGGATGAAGTAGAAGACCGTGAGCGCCATCAACGAGCAGTAGTACGTGACCACAGACCAGGTGCCAATCATCTGGCCGAAGCCCACACCTGCGGGAGAGCGTTTGGTGAGGGACTTGCGTCGCGTCGTTCAAAGCTATTCTGGCGGAGGATTTTGCCTGTGTTTCTCGTGGCAACAGGAAGAGTAGGTTGTTAGCCTCCTTTTCTTGCCTAGAGAAATAGCATCCCGCCTTCGATTTTATCTAAGAAGTTAAAACGACCAAAAGCATTGGAGATTCGAATGGCATTTCAGATGTTTCTACAGCCATCCTTTGCTGGGTGTCTCGAGGATGCGGGTGTAAGATTCAAAAAGACATGGGATTCTAAATGGACGTTTATGAGAGCTCGGTGCTGTTTTTTCTTTTATTGACAAGATCTTTAACACGTACAATGAGAATATGAATTAATCGGAAGGATTTCTTGATATAACAGTACTAAAATGGAGGTGTTATGATCACAAGCTTCATGATGATTCGTGACGCAAACAAAATATAACCAGAAAAGAATGGACGCTCGATTTCTGCCAACCTTTAATTGCTGGGACGACCTTCCAGACCTTGACGCTGCCGTAGGACGAAAACTGTCCCATCGCCAACTCCATGAAGTATAACGGCTGGAAGAAAAATTCATTTCAATAAAGGTGGCATTGTTTCCGTTTTTATTTGCTTTTAGATCGAGTGGATAACAGATAAGTGACGTTGAATTTCACAGTCATATCATTCTCCCAGAAGATAAGATTTATGTAATGAATAAGCATTAATCTGATAATTTGTAGCGTGTTAATGAGCCTCTCTTTATCACAGGTGATATCTTCATGTTATCTATTGATATGCTAACTATGATAGGGTAACCCTTGATTCAGCAAAAGAATTGCATTAATTACTACTACGAATGCAGAACTATTTCAAAATCTATACCACTTCATTAAAATAATAATAACAACAATAATAAAAACATTACGCTTACTGGAACAGGGATTAAGAGGCCCCGTAAACAAACTCCTTAAGAATGAGACTAGAATTCCGGCGCCGTGAAGACATAAATAAACTCTGCGCATACAAGCGGCGTTTTTATTGGCTCTTCTGCACAACCGGTGTATTTGGTCAGTTTTTCTTTATCTTCATCTTTTCCTTTTCCTTCCTTTTTTGTCTCCAAGAGGTGATCTGCACAGTCGTATTCTACCTTACCTCCTCTCACCCTTTCAGCAGTTCGACTCTGGCGCTGTTAGCCCTGAGCCAAATGGCATGCCTAACAGATGCCATTTTCCTGTGTATAACCCATCCTCGACACTTATAGTCCCTTTTCTAATCTTTCTTCCCTCCGTCGTTATCTCCTTATCACTTTCCACCCTTCTTCCCTCCGTCGTTATTCCCCTAAATGGTCTCCACCCTTCTTCCCTCCACCTTCCCTCCATCATTATTCCCCTTTATCACCCTCCACCTTGTTTCCCTGCATCGCTATCCCCTTAACAGTCTCCTCACTTGTTCCCTCCATCATTATTCCCCTTTATCATCCCCCACTTTATTTCCCTCCATCATCATTGCTCTTTAACACCCCCACTTTACTCCCCTCCATCATTATTCCCCTTTATCACCCTCCACTTTGTTTCCCTCCATCATTATTCCCCTTCATCACCCCGCACTTTACTTTTCTCTATCATTATTCCCCTTTATCATCCTCCACCTTATTTCCCTCCTTTGTTATCCCCTTATTGATCTCCACCCTTGTTCCCTCGACATTATTCCCCTTTATCTCCCTCCACCTTGTTTCCCTCCATCATTATCCCCCTTTATCACCCCCCAGTTTCCTTCCCTCCATCATTATTCCCCTTTATCCCCCTCCACCTCGTTTCCCTCCATCGCTGTCCCCCCTCCCCACCGCCCAGTCCCCATGCCCCACTCACTCTGCCGATGAAGGTGAGGACGATCAGGTACGGGATGAGGAAGGCCCCGCCCCCGTTCTCGTAGGCCGTGGTGGGGAACCGCCAGACGTTGCCGAGACCCACCGACATGGCGATGCACGACAGGAGGAACTCGATCGGGTGGGACCACTGCTGCCGATCCTCCCCGTCTTCCTCGGGCAGGTC